CTGGGAGTACAGGTGTACACCACATGCCCAGCTAAGTTTTTAAAAATTTTTCTAGAGATGGGGTCTTGCTATATTGCCTAGGCTGGTCTCAAACTCCTAGGCTCAAGCCATCTGCCCGCATCAGCCTCCCAAAGTGCTAGGATTACAGGCGTGAGCCACCATGACTGGCCAGGGATTGTTTTTGATGCTGCTTATCCGTCTGCTCTTATTAATTACACTCAAGTGCTAATTATGTGCCATGCATTATGCTTTGTGGGTTATTTTGTGGATTATCTCTGTTAATCCTCACAAAGGCTTTGTGAAGAAACTGAAGACGTAATCCAAATAATTTGTCCAAGGTTTCATAGTTATTGGTGGCAGAGCAGGAATACTTTTGAAGCCATATCAATGTGACTTTAAAAATCTGCGTTTCATCTGCTCTTTGCTTTCTACTTCTCATTTTATTGGGTTTGGCTTTTGTAAAAGAGGGAAAATGTTAAGTCATTAATTGGGATTGTGCTTTAATGAGTAGAAAATTGAAAGCTTGCTCAAGTTTAGAGGAAAGGTAGGAGGGAAATCAAAGATAGTTTACTTGACTGCCATGAGCAAATTAGACCAAAGGTGGTTATCAAACTTAATTCAGTGAATTCTTTTTCTTTTTTTGAGACAGTGTTGCTCTGTCACCCAGGCTAGAGTGCAGTGATGCCATCTTGGCTCACTGCAACTTCCGCCTCCTGGGTTGAAGCTATTCTCCTCCCTCAGCCTCCCAAGTAGCTGGGATTACAGGCATGCACTACCATGCCTGGCTAATTTTTGTATTGTTAGTAGAGATGGGGTTTCACCATGTTGGCCATGCTGGTTTGGACCATGTTGGCCATGCCAGTTTGGAACTCTTGACCTCAAGTGATGCCCCCACATCAGCCTCCCAAAGTTCTGGGATTACAGGCATGAGTCACCACACCCACCCTTAATTCAGTGAATTCTTTGAAAAAATAGATGATTCTGAACTCTTCTGATGAATTTTTATTTATTTGTATGCATTGAAACAGTATGTTTGAAGTGGGAATGCCTTCTTCCTAGTGGGCTCTGTGGACCCAGGATGTGAAATGCTAATTAATTAGCATAATTTCCATCATGCAGAATTGTTTCTAGGTGAAAAGTGGGAGGAGGAAGTGTTTTTAGGATTACAACCTGCGTTTATTTTCTTCCCCCTCTATTGTGTTATATTGTTCCAGGGCACCCAGGAATGATTCTGTCTCACTGCCTTTTCCTTCCAGAACAAGGAGGCCTCAGGTCTTTATTGCTAGTCCTCTTCAGGCTCTGCTTGTAGGATCTTTTGTTTCTAAATAGGTTGAGGAGAAAAGGGAGAAGAATTGTGCAGGCTGGTTGACTGGAATCTAGCATTTCTAATAACATGTTTTTGGCATTTGATGATACTGAGAACAGAGTGGCTTTTTGTGAACACTTCCTGATTTAATCATGACAAATATAAATACAGGCAATTGTCTACTCTAGAGTTGCTTAACATTGAGAGACTAATGAAAAGCTCAAATCAAATAACTTTTACTGGTGTGTGTAACTGTAGGTTTTAAAGTGAACTTTCTCTTCTCTGGGGAAAGTATTTTTGTGTATACTTTTTAGTTCCTCTTGTTTGAATCTAAAGAAACCACTTTGCTAAAAAACTTTGAAACTTGGATGTTTAACTGAAACAGCCTGGATACTTGGCTAACTTACTAATAAAAGGATAAAATAGAAGGGAGGTAGATAAATTTGGAGGGGCATGCAGTAAAATGTTATTACACTTTTTTAAAAATGAGACATACAGTAAAGGAATTTGCAAGGCTAATCAGCCTTCATTTTTATATTAACACTAGAAAGGCAAGAAGTCTGAGATCTTTCCTAAAAGCATAGAAACATTCTTAGCTAGTCTACCGTTAAGAGTCTGTGATATAAGCAGAATTAAGGATTAATCTGAAAGTCTAAATACCCTGGGTGCTCATGTCTGTTCTGTCACTGACACTTAAGTCATTTATTAATTATTTGCCTCCCTTTTGTTAAATGTTAAAATGAGTTCTCACAATAATTGAAAACCATTGCTTGATTAAGTTATTTGCTAAAGCTAATAATAATGTATAAATTAAAATGTAATGTTTGGGGAAGATGCATAAAAGTTGATTTTGAACCTACTGGTTTAGAATTTGATTTATCTTTTAGAGAAAATCTGAATTGTAATAGAAACAAAAACACTGGACCTGAGAACAGGAGATTTCAGTTTTAGTTTGTCAATACTTTTTTTTTTTGAGATGGAGTCTCACTCTGTCGCCCAGGCCGAGTGCAGTGGCACAATCTCTGCTCACTGCAACCTCTGCTTCCTGGTCTCAAGCAATTCTCCTGCTTCAGACTCCTGAGAGGCTGGGATTACAGGTGCCCACCACCATGCCCGGCTAATTTTTGTATTTTTAGTAGAGACAGGGTTTCGCCATGTTGGCCAGGCTGGTCCTGAACTCCTGACCCTGAATGATCCACTGGCCTCGGCCTCCCAAAGTGCTGGGATTAGAGGTGTGAGCCACTGCTCCAGCCTAGTTTGTTAATACTTTTAATTATAGTCGAGTGATTTGGGGGCCAAGTGTGTAAACTTTCTGGAACATAATTTCCTTTTAGGTAAAATGGAGATCTGAGATGAACATTTGCTTATAGCTCTACTATTCTGTGCATTAAATTAATAGTACAGGCCGGATGCAGTGGCTCACGTCTGTAATCCCAGCACTTGGGAGGCTGAGGCAGGAGGATCACTTGAGCCCAGGAGTTCAGCACTAGCTGAGTTAACATGGTGAAACCCTATCTCTACCAAAAATACAAAAAGCTAACCAAGTATGGTGGCATACGCCTGTAGTCCCAGCTACTCAGGAGGCTAAGGTGGGAGGATTGCTTGAGCCTGTAGGTTGCTGCAGTGAGCCAAGATCCTGCCACTGCACTCCACCCTGGATGACAGAGGGAGACCCTGTCTCTCCGTCTGTCTGTCTTTCTCTGTCTCTCCCTCTCACACACACATACACGTACACGTACAAAATTAGTAATTCATCTCAGAGGGACAACAGGGTATATTATAAGAATTAAACTGTATAAATGAATGATGAATATGTAAATGATTTGTAATTCAAGCCTGCCTTCCTGTAAATTTTGAGAATTATGAGGCTTACTTCATTAGTACAACTAGGTACAGCTAAATAGTAGTTAGAGAAAAGGAGAGTTTGGGAAACTTGGCTACAGGAAGACACAGATGTATTGAAAAGGCACTTATGTTCATTGCACTATTTTTTGTTTGAGTCAGTGATGGTCCTGTATTACAAGCTATGCAAACATTTAAACTGGAGGCTTGTTTATATAGTCAAGGGAAATCCAGGGTTGGTGGACCTGTGATTAACTCTTTCAGCTCAGACAGAAACAAAAAAAGTAGAGAGGGTAAAGGGTCCTATATTTGGGGATGTGCAGTTAATATACATCTAGATAGGTATAGATATCTAAATTCAGGTGAAACTCACTATAATTTTTTACAGAAAAACTCTTTATGTAAATAATTGTGTTTATGTGTTTATAAGATCAATCTTTAATCTTAAAAAATTTTTAAGACCTTTTAAAAAGAAAGATGTCTTGAGCATGTAAGTGTTCAATAGATAGTTTACATCCACCTTACCCATATAGTACTCTGCTCAATATTTAGAAGACATATCTCTTCCTGAATTCAAAATAGTAAACAGAAGTATGAATATAAAAACTGAAACACAACTTGCAACTGAACTAAATTTCGAAAACTACTTCCGTTTATTTTTAATTTAAAGAAAACTGATAAGGCAGTGTCTTTAAACGCATGAATGAATTGAAATAACTAGTACACTGTAAGATTTTTTTCTGAAGTCTTACTGCTCCCAAGTCCATTTTCTAGTGACATTTTGCAGGACCTTCAAGCTGATTAATCTTCCCTAAAATGGGACTAAGAATCTGAATTCCTCTAGCCCTGACTCCTGAGGCTAACATGAATGAATCCTGCTAAAGAGAGGATGAATAATCAAGCTTTTTCACATATTTTTCAATTTGAAGAAAAAATATACACAGAGTATATGTGTTTTAAAGCTAAATATGTGAAATACGCATTTTTGTGTGTTTTAAAAAGCTGATGTATTACATCTGTTCTAAAAGTGGAAAAATGTGACAACACAATAGAGCAGTTGTCAGCGTGCTCCTGACATCTTATTTTTTGTTGTTGTTCAGTACTACCCTCATAAATATTCTAGGGAATGTTTAATATAAGGGAGGTTTTGGCAAATCCCAGGTGTAGGTTTCAAGCGATTGATCTGCCTTCTACTATTATGTCCTTAACCTGCTATGGATGATCATGATGTTTGACCAGCCTACGTGCTTTTCCTGCCATTGAGTTCTCTGGCTGGTTTAGTGTAGGGCATACTGAGGATCTGGTTGTCCGCTGTTTGAGAAGGCGTGAGAGCTATGCTGTCTGGTGACTACTGAGCACTTGAAATGTGACTAGTGCAACTGATGAAGTGAATTTTTAATTTTATTTAATTTTGATTTAAATTCATATTCAAATAGGTATATGGCACTAGCAGCTACTGTATTGGTCAATTAAGATATAGAACATTTCCATCATCACAGAAAGTTCTCTTGGACAGCACTGCTCTAGCAGTCTCATTCTAAGACTCCCGTTGGCCTGGCACTAATCTCTGAACATGTCAACTGTTTCCCCAAATTCTAATTTATCAGATGGAGGTGGCATGCAGATGCCATGTGGTTGCCAAGAAGATTAATATGTGAACAAAAACACAGTGCAGAGTTTCATCTCCTAAGGAAAAAAACATTTAAAAAAATATCATAGAAAACAAATGATGCTATTTCTTATTGTAATAACTATTAAAAGATGTCTAGTAACTGCTAGCACAGTGGTTTGAGAGAACTTATGCTAATGTATCTTGGAAGGATCTATAATTCATATCACATTTTCTATTTAGGTACTTAAAGCTTTCACCAAAACACCCAGAATCAAATACTGCTGGAATGGACATCTTTGCCAAATTCTCTGCGTATATCAAGAATTCAAGGCCAGAGGCTAATGAAGGTAAAAAAATTGACTTACCAATGCAGAAAAACCCCCCAAACAACAAGCTGTTATTATGACAGTGATTATAAATGAATACTTTAGAGTCCAGGCATTCCTATAAGTAATAAAAACTGTCTTTCAGAGTTGATCAGAAATTTGGTGATAAACTGGAATAAGTCCCTATGTTGCTGTTTTTCTATGTTTCTAGCTAGTAGCACAGTATGTAGTAAGTGTGCGATAAAATGCTTCTTGAATGAAGTTGATTTCATATTATTTTGAGAAGTTACTGTGAAGGGAGCTAGGGAAAGAATGGCGCATCAGAAACAGTGGGTTGTGTGGTACTGGTGGTGGTGTTTTAGAATAGACTGGTTGAGCTTAATGTAAACTATAACTAAATCTTTATTGTTGAGTGCCTGCAGCCTAAAGTCAAGTGAGGGATTTTGTTTTGTTTTGTTTTTTTTACTAATTATCCTTAAAGAGCAAATTTTGGAGTTGCTTTAAGAGGGTAATTAGACATACCAGCTTTCCAGATTTCTCTGTGTCTTCAAACTGGAATTTCATTTTCAAGTCATGTTTTCATGGTGAGAATTATTTAGGTAGTACAGTTGCAATTTTCTCTTATTTATTAAAGGACACTATTTTTATTATTTTATTTACCAAATGGATGTATAGTGTAGGGAGGTCTCTTTGGAAGAGATTCCATTTAATGAACCTTGTCTTAACTATAGCATTCAGTAATTTCCCTTTCTCTTCTCTTCAGGGTGTTAAATATAGTTCTCTCTGGGGAAAACTGTGTAGCACACATCAGTGTTTATTTGAAAGTAACCCAATAACCAAAAATACTGGCTCCTAAAATATGATAGTTTCAGATAGTTTGGTAGCTTGGGTGGGGTTCTTTTGAGAAGAAGTTTATGTCAGCAAATGAACAAGAATACCAAAGGGGAAAATACCAGTGCTGGTTAAACAAGAATAAATATATTTTTAAAAAGTGAAATACTTGCTAATTTTCTTATGTTATTTCAGTAGACAAATTCCCAAGCTACTCAGGCTATTTCTTATTACAAAATTTCCAAATTGCAGCATTTTATAATATAGCATTGAATTCCAGTGTCTATTTGCTCTTGATTTTTGGAATGATACTGCATGGAATGTTTTTCTACAGTGAACGGAAAAAAGGGAAAAATATTAGTGCTCAGGTCTGGCTTATATCTATTAATAATATATTCCAGTAGCTGCCGTGGTTTGGAAGCAATTTTCTTTAGTAATTGGCTTTTATTTTTCCTAACTAATGTTTCTGTCTGAGCAATTTATACATTAAGTAAGGGTTGTGCTGGAGCCCCTCCTTTCCACAGTGTCTTTTCTGTTCTGCCCTTCCTTCATGCGCACTTTTATTTTCATAAAACTACCCTTGTATACCCAGATGCTTCTGCTGCATACTTCTTTGAGCAATCTTAGTTACAGTTATGCTTTTATTTCTCTGTGTGGTTTTTGGGAGTTGGAGGGTGGTTAAATTTCTTCTGACACTTGGTGGGGAGGAGAAAGGAATAAAAATGTGTTTGCTTCTGCTTTGAGAGGTAAGGATGGGGAGGGGAAGAAAAAGGTTGTAAAGTGACTCATTTAAGTATAACTTTGTATTCTATTTTTTCCTCTATCAATTTGTTACTATCTTAAGTAACCACCGACTTTTCCTGTCCTCAGAATGCTGTAACCAATGAGAACAAACAACATAATAGACTAGGTAGTATATAATCTAGAAGGCTTTATATTAAATTACCTGCTGGCAAATAAAAGTTCCAGTTGCCAAGCAACTTCTCTCCACAGGGACCTGTTGAGGCCATGAGACTTTAGCAAACAATATTTCAAATCACTTTGGAACCTAATGGGCCCTTCTTATGTATGTTTGCTGCAGGTCTCATATCTGTTAAGTGCAATCAAATGCCTTTAGTAATCCTTGGAAATTAGTGATTCACCGTTTTATTTCCCCAAACTCCCACCCAAATGCTGACAATCTACACAGAGATGGATTTGTCATTTTAAATGGTAAATCACAGTAGACAAGTTGATTAGTTTTTCTAGCCTGTTAAATATTTTTTAAATCCAATATATTTGGACAATTTTAAGACCCTTTAGGACTTAATTCTAAGTAAGGGATTAGATGTCTGGATGCTAGTTTTGGTCTAGTGAAAGTGAAGTAGAAGAGCTAGTGCTTAGGTTGGGGGATGAAGTAAATAAGTAAAATTTAAAGAATAAAGGAAAACACTGATGATGGATAGATAATACATATATAATTCTTTTGGTAACACGTTCAAATTTATTGGGAGTAAAAGTTTATGTAATCATTTAGTCATTCATAGAGAAGCTCATGGGTAATTCCTTTTGTGGGGATGCATTAAGTATAACCTGTTCCCAGATCTCCTATGGTTTTTTAAGTTCTGTGATGGCATTAATTTATGTAATTTACTAAGGCCCCAACTGTAACTAGTCGTTGGTATTTATAATACTTAAAAGAGAGAAATGAATTTAGCATTGTGAATGTACTCGGAGGCATATTTCATAATGTCCAAATTCCTATTTTTACATGGAGGCAAGGAATCTAGAGATTCTGATTAGTTCCTTTTTATTCAAGATCCTTTCCCTTCTCCTCTCCCCACTACTCCTGCCTTTCTCTCTGGAAAAGTGTTTGGAGTCAGAAGATAGTTGTTCATTATTGTAGCAGTAAGCCTACATTGTATATTTAATTATCTTTAAATATCCATTACCTCTTTCTGTTTTCCACTGATGTGTAACTTAGCCTAAAAACTTGTTTGTATAAGTTACCCTTTATTAAGACCAGCAGTAGCTTGAAAATTCGGTTTTATCCATGTAAGTGCTTATAATTTTTAGTCTGTGTTGTATTCATTGTAAATTGTCTTGTTTTTCAGTAACAAATACTCTTATTATATGTAATGTTTTCTGCCTTGAATTTTACTCATTCAGATCATACAAATAACAGAATACATGCTTGTTGAAAAAGTTAAAATAGTACAGGAATAAATTTAATAAAACTTAATTGCCCCTCCTTAATCACATTATATTACCTCTTCAACAATTTAATGTCCTCCTTTTTTAATATAATTTTGCAAAGATTTCTGTAAATATGTATTATGTACATACCCACATTATACAGTTATATTTTTTACCTATATGGTAGAAATGCTTCTATATCAAAATATAGATCTGGCTGGCCATGGCGGCCCAGCTCTGTAATCCCAGCACTTTGGGAGGCCGAGGAGGGCAGATCATGAGGTTAGGAGTTCGAGACCAGCAAGACCAACATGGTGAAACCCCGTCTCTACTAAAAATACAAAAATTAGCCGAGCATGATGGTGGGCACGTATAATCCCAGCTGCTAGGGAGGCTGAGGCAGGAGAATCGCTTGAACCCTGGAGACAGAGGTTACAGTGAGCCTGGATCACGCCACTGCACTCCAGCCTGAACTACAAGAGCGAGACTCCATCTCTAAATAAATAAATAAATAAATAGATTAAAAATACATATATATACGCACGCATGTGCGCGCACGCACACACACACACATACACATACATACATATATCTACCTCAATTTTTAGAAATTCTGCTTTGTATTTTATATATGGGTTTTCATTTAACCATTTCCATGTTGATAGACATCTAGACTCTCAAGTTTTGCTTTTTTGTTGTTTTTTTTTTTAACTATAACAAACAGTGCTACTGGTGAATGTCCTTGAGCTGGATTCCAAATAGTTTAAGAAGTTTTTGTGCATTTTAAATTTTGCTTTATTTTGCCAAATTGTTCTCCAAAAGTCTATACCAGTTTATAGTCCCACTAACATGAAAGTATTCATTTTCCTACACTTTGGACCCTGGTGCATGTTAATTTTTGTAATTTTGCTGTGTTCTCTTAGACAAAAAAGGGTGTTTTGACTTTCATAATTAATTTTAAACTGATTATGTTGCTCTGTTGCACCTAATAATTTTTTGAGAGCTTTTGAAATAGCTTCTTAAGAGATACCAACATTACTATATCAGGGGTATTGGAGAATAATAGTGCAACTTCTTAGATATAAAAGACAAGTAGCTACTTTCTGATGGCTTGCTACTGCCTTCTAGCGGTTAATTTTGACATTTTTAAATCTTTATATACTCCTTTGTGATGATTATTCTTGAAAACCGTAGTATGTTTATTGAATGGTGCTATTTAGTACTTTTTGATACCTCTGTTTGTGTTTGTTTTATTGGCCATACCTTATGTTGGTACATATAATTGTACCAAATCAGTTCATCATTCTTTGTTTTCATTAATTTACCCTTGTTATGGCATTCTTAACTATGAAAAATTAACACTATAGTCAGGTATAGCTATTCAACTTAATTGAAAGTGCTAAGTCCAAAATTATGGAAAAAACAGTCATTGTAATGTTATGCTAGACTCTTAATTTTCTCTTTTTAAAAAATTTATTGAAATGACACAAGGTCTTGCTATGTTGCCCAGGCTGGTCTTGACCTCTGAACTCAAGCAATCCACCCAGCTTAGCCTCCCAAAGTGCTGAGATTACAGGCGTGAGCCACTGTGCCTTACATTGAGGAATACTATATGTTATAAACCTTGTAAATTTAGGATATTATATATATAGAAATAAATATATATTATATATATAAAATATTTATATATAAATTATGTATGTAAATATATATATATATATATATATATATATATATAATTCAGGAAAAACATTAATTTAGATCAGGTCCAAGGTTAAAAATTTCCTCAAACTTGTCAAAACACTCAGGTAGCATTTGAGACAACAATTCAATGTTTGAATTCAGGCAACATTATCTTCCCAACAGACTGATTCTATTCATTGTAATCTGATCAAAGAACAAGTCCTTGTACTCTAATATGTTCTTGTTGTGCATTCACTGCCCGACCCCCGCCCTCCCTGTTTTTTTTTTTTTTTTTTTTTTTGAGACAGAGTCTTGCTCTGTCACCTAGGCTA